GACAGGAGGAACAGGTCCGTCAGTTGAAAGAGCAGCTGCAGAGCCGACAGGAGGAACAGGTCCGTCAGTTGAAAGAGCAGCTGCAGAGCGGACAGGAGGAACAGGTCCGTCAGTTGAAAGAGCAGCTGCAGAGCGGACAAGAGGAACAGGCCCGCCGACAGGAGGAACAGATGCTCCTCATGAAGGACCTTCACGCTACCTTCGGGAAGGAGATAAAGGAGGTGAAGGATAGGGTTGCTCAGCATGACAACCGCCTGTCGGAAGCTGAAACCCAAATCGCGAAAGCTGAAAACCGAATCGAGAAAGCTGAAACCCGAATCGACCAAGTAAACAATCGGATTGACAACGTAATGGCCGAAATGAAGAAATCACTGGACGAACTCAAACTTGGAGATGGAACAACAGCTCCCGTAGTAGCTACAACACCTTCGCTACGTGGATTCAAAGTGCCGCCGTTCGACGGGACCTGTTCCTGGTCAGCCTACAAAATCCAGTTCGAGGCTGTTATGAAGGCGAACGGCTGGAATAAAAGTCAGGCCATGACTGCTCTCACACTAGGCCTGCGCGACCAGGCCTTAACAGTTCTGGAAGCTCTCGGTGAGGAAGTGACTTATGAGCTCCTTGAGGCATTGGAGGCGAGATATGGCGACGCTCACCTGGAACACGTCTTTCGTGCGCAGCTTAAAGATCGTGTGCAGCGCATCAACGAAAACCTGCAGCGGTGGGCTCTAGAAGTGGAGAAGCTGGTGCGAAAAGCATACCGGTCTGTACCTGCGCTCATTGAAGGGAACCTGGTGCAGACATTCATCGACGGCATTCGCGACCTGGAAGTCAGAGCTGCTGTGAGGCTCGGGCACCACGAGACGATTAAGGACGCCTTGGCCCATGCACTGGAAGTGGAAGCCGTGCGGCAGGATCATCGTTCCCATCGCGTCAGGGAGGTTGCAGCAGCTACAGTTCGCGACCGCAACAAAGGATACAGCCCAAGGTGCTATGGCTGTAGGGAAAAGGGCCATCTTCGATCCAGCTGCCCTAAGCGAACCCTAGAAAGGGAAGGTGAACGATCCCAGGAGGGTAGTGCGGCCAACAGCACCGCCCAGCAGCAGCAGGGAAACGAGTAAAAGCCAGAACTGCGGGGCGGGTGCTGGCTGATGTTAAAAGAGCCCCAAGGATCTCGATCTCACAAACCCATGATGGGAACAGTCTAATCATCAAGGGCGAGGTCAACGGAATGCCGTGTAAACTGACCATAGACACTGGAGCCTCTCGTACGGTTGTTAGTTCCCAACTTATAAGTCAGTTCCTTGGGGACTCCGCATACAACCGAGAACGCATTAATTTGGTAACAGCCACCGGTCAGCGTATACCCGTCCGTGGAGAGAAGGAGATGGAGTTGAAGCTAGGCAACGTGATCTAGCTGCATAATGTCATCGTGGCTGATATAATGGACGACTGCATCCTAGGCTTAGACTTTATGAGGAATAATTGTTGCGAGATCGACGTTAAGCAAGGTGTTTTGAAATGTGGACAAGAGGAACTTTTTATGGAAGGTGCGTTACCAGGGAACGTGTACAGCATCAAGAAGATTGTTCTTCCGCCGAGATCGGAAACGATTGTTCCGGTTAGTCTTCCTCGAAACGCTGGGCAAGCTCACCGTTGTGTACTTGTAGAAAGGGTAAACAATGACCTTCCATGGAAAGTAGCTCGAACATTGGTCAGGACCACTGACATCTCAGGAGTACGTGTGCTGAACCTTTGCGACCGGGAACAGATTATAGAAAAAGGCACACTGGTTGGTACTTGTGAGGAAGTGGATTGGTTACGTCAGTGCCAATATATATCGAGTGGGACCTCCAGCAAGGATTCAGAAACGAGAGTGACCACACTTTTGGAAGACTGTCGCAGTGTTCTGTCCCCGAACGAATTGGTCAAGGCGAAGAAGTTGTTACTCAAGTACGCCGATGTATTCTCATCAAATGATGCTGACATAGGAAAGACTGGCCTAGTTCAACACAAAATAAACACAGGAGAGGAATTGCCTATCCGTCAGCGGCCAAGAAGATTGCCGGTAGCACGTGAAAAGGAAGTGGAAACCATGATTGAGGGAATGGTGAAGGATGGTGTTATTGAACCTTCCTCTAGTCCATGGTGTTCACCAGTGGTGCTGGTGAAGAAGAAGGATGGCAGCATGCGGTTTTGTGTTGACTACCGCCGTCTGAACGACGTTACGAAGAAGGACAGCTATCCCTTGCCAAGAATTGATGACACGCTGGACATGCTTACAGGAGTAAAGTGGTTTAGCACGCTGGATCTGAAAAGTGGCTACTGGCAAGTTGAAATTGACCCTAAGGACAAGGAGAAAACTGCGTTCTCGACGGGAAAGGGTCTGTGGCAATTTAAAGTAATGCCGTTTGGGTTGTGCAATGCTCCAGCAACGTTTGAAAGGCTGATGGAACTTGTACTTACCGGGCTAATTGGCGATGCCTGTCTGGTCTACTTGGATGACATCATCATCATAGGCCGTACGTTTGAGGAACACCTTCAAAACCTGGAACGCGTGCTCATGAAGATTCAGAGTGCCAACCTCAAGTTGAGCCCGAAGAAATGTTCACTATTCCAACGGCAAGTTAACTTTTTGGGGTTTGTAGTATCGGAAGAAGGTATCCGCACAGATCCAGAGAAAATCGCCGCTGTCAAGGATTGGCCGGTTCCAAAAGACAAGACGCAGGTTAGAGCATTTTTGGGTTTGTGCTCCTATTACCGGCGATTTGTGAAGAACTTTGCAGATATAGCCAAACCTCTGCACAAGCTAACCGAGGAGAAGCGACATTTCTGCTGAGATGAAAGTTGCAATATCGCATTCCAGGAGCTCAAGGACCGTCTGTGCAAAACACCTATTTTGGGATACCCTGATGTAAGCAAAGAATTTATAGTTGACACAGACGCAAGTGATATAGGACTTGGCGGTGTGTTGTCTCAACGGAATGGTGACCAAGAGGTCGTGATAGCGTACTTCAGCAAGTCGTTGTCAAAACCGGAAAGGAACTACTGTGTCACAAGACGCGAATTGCTAGCTGTGGCAAAATCGTTGCAGCATTTTAGCAAATATCTTCTGGGGCGAAAATTTCACTTACGAACTGACCATGCTGCACTAAAATGGCTATTGCAGTTTAAAAATCCAGAAGGACAAGTTGCGAGGTGGATTGAACTACTGCAGGAATACGACTTCGAGATCGAACATCGCAACGGGAAATCTCATGGCAACGCAGATGCATTGTCAAGAAGACCTTGTCCTGAAGATTGCAAACATTGTACTAGGCAAGAGAGTAAGGAAGTGGTATCCGTGAGGATGCTCAGGGCAGACCACCTCAGCAACGAGTGGAAGGACAGCTTACAACGTGCAAAGCAGGAAGATCCGGACATCAAGCCGATCCTGGAATGGATGAAGGCCAGTGCTCCCAAGCCCAAGTGGAGCGACGTCTCAGCGATGAGTTCGACCACTAAAAGCTATTGGGCCCAGTGGGACAGCTTGCTGCTTCAGGATGGAGTTCTGTGCCATAAATGGGAAAATGTTCGGGGAGACAGCTGTCATTTACAAATGGTTGTCCCTAAAGCTAAAGTACCGGATGTTCTACAGCTGTACCATAATGATTATTCAGGAGGCCATCTAGGAGTTAAACGAACTCTACTGAAGATCCGAGAACGGTTTTACTGGCAAATGTACAAGTTGTGCGGCTGTAAAGGGACCTCAGACTCGTAGTAGAGGTGCATTGAAGTTGTACAATGTTGGTGCACCATGGGAGAGAATAGCCATTGACGTGGCGGGGCCGTTTCCGGAGAGTGAAACCGGTAACAGGTATTTCATGGTTGTGATGGATTACTTCACTAAGTGGCCAGAAGTCTTCGCCATTCCAAATCAAGAAGCTTCAACAGTTGCTGATAAGCTAGTTCATGAAGTCTTCTGTCGTTTTGGTGTACCTTTAGAGATTCACGGCGATCAAGGAAAGAATTTTGAGTCTCAAATATTCCAGGAAACTTGCCGAGTTATGGGTACTCATAAAACAAGAACAACTTCTTATCACCCGCAATCTGATGGAATGGTAGAACGATTTAATCAGACATTGGAGAGGTACCTAGCAAAAGTTGTAGACAATCGGCAACGAGATTGGGACAAGCACATACAACCGTTTTTGTTGTCATATCGAAGCGCTGTTCACGAAAGTACAGCAGTGACACCAGCTTTCGCAAACTTTGGAAGAGAATTACGGCTGCCTGCAGACCTGATCACCGGGATACCACCTGATGCTCCACGCAGTATAACCGATTATGCAAATGACTTGCGGAACAAAATGAATGACGTTTATGAGCACGTCAGACAATCGGGCCAGCAAATGTCTGAAAAGATGAAAACCCGGTATGACCGCAAAATGAACAACAAAGGGTTCGACGAAGGTTCACTTGTGTGGTTGCACAATCCAGTCCGCAGCAAAGGGAAATCTCCTAAGCTTCAAGCTAAATGGGACGGCCCGTACCGGATTGTGACCAGGATCAACGATGTAACCTACCGGATACAGAAAGGCGCAAGAGGGACTCCTAAGATCGTCTATGTGGATCGCCTAGCGCGTTATTATGGGACCGATAATGCTCGGGACGAGCATGTCTTAGGAGGGGGCAGTGTTACGCGCTCCAATGCCTCAAATCGGCGCACTAGCGCCATCTAGTCTCGAACCGAAGAACTAAACTTCTTGAAGTTTAAAACTCGAACTCTCGGTACCTTGCGTGTGTTTACTTGAACATTCTGGATATTTTGCTAATTTATATAAGTAGGCGCTGCAAGATGCGATCGTAGTAGACTTGAACTCGGCGACACAAGCGAAGCTTCGGAGCGGAATTAAGTGAATTAGTGTGTTTAATCATTAGTGTTTTAAGTTTTAATTTGTGTAAAGTAAATTAAAGTGTTAATTTAGGTAATTTTATCGGCAATTTTTATTGTCACGAACCCTAAGCTCGTAACATTACTATCACCAGTTCTAAGCTTTACTAAGTAAATGCTTAAAGCAACCGTGGCATTTGGTACTTGTCCTGCTAGACTTGGGATACAGTTTAACAAATCATAAAACTGATCCGAGTTCATGCCTAAACAAAAGTGACACAAATAAGTAAGCATAATAAAAATATTTGAGAAATCTATATGGTAATAGGCAGCTCGCTGCATTATTCTTATAATTGAGTCGAATTGACTACCAGTAAAATCTTTTAGAAGTTAATTCGGTCCAACGGCCATGATCCAGGTGGTGACGACAGATTCGTGCTGCTGGTGGCACATAGAATTTATTATTAAGTAATTACAGATCCTTTGTAGATGAGGGTACTATAAACGTTCTGTTTCAAAACAATTAACAAATATACAGTGATTGGATGTGCTAGCCGCACGCTTATACACAGAAGACCTAATTGTTGGATTTGATCTAACATGAGTAGTGTGTAGGTTTTGTTGTGGAAGAGAGGGCGGCGCTCAGGAATATTGAGATCGCTACTTGATCCAATATCAGGCGAAATAGCTTCTGACAGACCAGGGCGATTGGAGTCGTGTTGATCACGACGTTGCAATTCTCTTGTAGATGATCTCCAGCAAGCAGCACATACTCTTTACAATCTTGAGATCTAAAAATAATACAATTAAACATGTAATATGAAACATTTCACAAAGGGATATAAACTTGATAAAAGTGTGTATTGTAATGTGATGTAAATGTTAGGGATACATTTTTTTATAAGATAGGGTGACAAACGAGCACAAAGTCCATCTGATGGTTTTTAGTATTTGCTGTGGCCCATAAATATCTACATATATTCTCGATTACAAATCAAAATGCAGATGCATTGTCACCCGTGAGGACTACGATGGAATGCCTTGTTCCCAGTAAAAAGGATCTCTGGTTCTTTACACTCACTATTTCGTATAGTGAGTTGACCCTTAAACTCTCAACACGCCATACGAAACACAAGCAGCATTAAGCTGCTATTTCACGCTGGTATTCTGTGAGAGCATGGTCTTTACCCAGCCGAGCCGAACCATTCATGCTACAAATATACTACTAATATAGTTGCAGCATGGCTTTCCACATATGATAATGATCAGTCAGTAATTGTGTTAAAGTAGATAATATTATCTAAAACCCACAACATTATGTATTTGTGAAACCTTCACTTATTGGGACTCAATATTATAAACACATTTAATTACAGTATTATAACTAAAAACTGTAGAAGACTGGAGAAAATAAGAACATTAATAAGAAGTTGATCTTTTTATATATTGCAACCTAAATAAAAATATTTACCAGATGCAGCAAAACCTGTCTTACTAAAATGTTTCTCTCTTGTCCATCTTGTCTTACAGGATATGCTCTAGTTGGACGAAGAATAGAATTGCCACAAGTAAAACATATACTTCTATGATCAAAAGCAGGCAATCCTTCACTAATTGTGTTTGCTTGATCTTGAAGCAGTGACAAACACTCTGTACAAAGCACACATTCTGAAGACAACTGCAATAAAAATCATGAATTAAAAAGTGTGTTTTAACCTTTTTGACATTATCTGTCTTCTGTAACATATTCACAGAAGTTACATTTATATGCAATCAAGAGTAAAGCCTTTTTTGGCCTCAAACAGGTTAGTTTTTTGTTAATCATTTGTTATTGCCTGTGCTGTCTAAAATTAAATATTTATTTCATTCTATAAAAATGTTTTGTAAGACGGTACGATAGTAGAGATCCGACATTCTTAGGAGTCATCTGACATTCTTAATTAGATTCGTAAAATAAGATCTGCTTACCTGAGTAGGAGTTATCCACGACTGTAACAAGTTAATCATTGAAGTAGATGCTTGTTCCAATGAATGTGGGTCATACATCGTTTGTTATGCCGGGTGACTGACGGTGTCTATCGGTCGACTCCACGGTTCGACATATTTCCACAATTAAAATACACAGAAAAAAAGTTCACAAAATACCAACAAGTTCTACTTCTCAACACACAATTCAATAACTAACTAATCTCAACTCTCAAAACACAGACAGTTGTATTTGTTAGAACAAAGATAGTGCGTGGGTGCGTGGTCAGCACAAAGGTCATATGCACTTTAAACGTCATTTCTAGAATTTTTTTTACTTAAAAACTGGTTTTACGGTTCTAGGTTCTAGCCCTTCTGAGCCTATCATTTCCTTCGGAATCTTCAATTTTGTATATTTTTTTAAAACCATATGGATATTGTTTTAAATGGAGCATGGAGTGGTTGAGCTGTCGCCAAAATCTCCTAAGAACTTCGAAATGTGACGCATCAGCATATTGTGAAGAAAAAATATATAAAAATGAAGATTCCGAAAGATATGATATGCTCAGAAGGGCTAGCCTCCAGAGCCGTAAAACCAGTTAAATAAATATAAAAAATAATACAATATCAATATCCATACTTTTAAACTCAAAAAAAATTTCCCTGTTCAAAAATCCCCGAATCCCCGGACGCATAATGTCATAAAAAAATAGGACAGTAATTACTATTAAAACTCAGTCTTGGTGCGCGAGACTTTTTGGTACCACTTTTGGTCTTTCTCCTTTCTCATATGTGCTTTGAATTTAAAGATTATTATCTATTGTAATTCCTAAGTACTTAATTTCTTTTATATTTATTATATTAAAGCAATTGCAGTTTGACCTAGGAAATTGAAAAAATGAATGTGCTATACTTTATAACTCCTAATATAAAAGTAAAGGTAAAGTTACAGCCTATATACGTCCCACTGCTGGGCACAGGCCTCCTCTCAATTCTGAGAGGGTTTTAGGGCAAGGAATAGTCCGCCGCGCTGCCCCAATGCGTGTTGGCGAACTTCACATGTCTTCGAAATATTTTTTTTTTCTTATTTCTTAGACATGCAGGTTTCTCACGATGTTTCCTTCACCGTCGAGCATGTGGTACATCAGCACTTAAAATTGCAATTAACAATTTCATTGGTGCTGGCGGGGATCGAACACGGTTTGCTCGCGTATTGTGAAATTTACAGCGAGCGCTAACCATCTGAGCCACCACGGCTCTCTAAATGCTAATATATTTTGGTAATTTTCGAATTGAAAACGTAATATATTTGGTTTTATCAACATTAAGTGAAAGCGAATTTATGGCTAGCCACTGACGGTAATAAATTTTCTTGTGCAATATTAAAAACTTCTTCCCATGAATCCCCATAAAAAGTTAGTGTAATATCATCGGCATACGATATTATTTTACAATTTTTTATATTTAAGTTACAAGGTTCATTAATGTAGCACAAAAATAGCGTTGGGCCAAGTATGCTGCCTTGTGGGATGCCGTAACTAATGGGTTGTTCATCGCTTATTATGTTACCTAACCGAACTCTCTGTGTTCGATTATGTAAATAATCCATAAGTAGTAACTGTTTATCCCTTATGCACGTCATTTCTAAATAGTAGGCAAAAGCTCGGTGCATTGACTTGTACACACAAGCGCGCGTTGTTGTTGATCAAGTTTGCTGTTCAATTTTGTATTTTTTTTTCAAATAAATGTAGAAACCTTATTTACGCGTATTTTTAAAAACTGCAAAAAGTGTACATTTAAATTTGGCTAGTCTTTGAAAAATAACCGTGTGTATTGTCGTGGGGGCTACAGTATAGTGTTAAGTGATGGAACCTTTCATCGAGGCGCACGGCGACGGGGCACAGCGCGACCACGACGCGGTTGAAGTAGCGCGCGTTGTAGCGCGGCGCCGGCGCCGGTCGCAGCACTAGTTCCGCCGCCGCGTACAGCGCGCCGCCTGCCCCCGCGCCACCCGCCCCGCTTCCACCCCCGCCCCGCAGCGTCTGCAGCAGTACCGGCTGCGCCGCGTCCGCCAGCTGCGTGCGCAACCAGTTCATTTATTTATAATTTATACTATCAATTGTTGTCATTTAGTGAAACTCCAGCTTCATTTTTGTGATTTGTATAAACACAATAATGTGAAACTACTTGGTCGTCTGCAAAATGCATTAGAGCCCGCCGGCTTATACTCCATATACGTCATAAAAAATGTACTCTGTGCCTTTTGCCATGCGACCTGCACTGACACTCAAATTTTGTTCGCGGTGTCTATTCTAGTACATATTAGTTCAATAAAGTGATGTACCCCTCACTCGTGAGTTACCTCGTACGAGGTCCTCGTGAGGGCAAATTGAAAGAGTTACTCGATTTCGTTATTGAGCTACTTCACTCGTTCGTTCACTCCTCACTTAAATGTATTATATCATGACTTGACGTCACGAGCATGTAAATAAGGTAAGGGAGATAAAGTTGAATGGTGTGGAGTGCTTGAGTGACCTGGTTGTCCCACTGCAAGTCGTCCAGCTGCAGTGCCAGCAGCGCAGCGGCGGGCGAGCGTGCCAGTTCCAGACGCAGGCGGCGGCACGTGGCGTACAGCAGCTCGGCAGCCGGCGCGCCCACCACCAGCGACACGCCCAGCCCACCCACCGCCACACGCACGCCCCACTCGCTGTCCTCCTCGCTCGCACCGCACTCCTCCTCCTCGTCGTCTTCGATGCGCCCCACCTCCTGCACACGCACACAAATACGTTTATATAATTTGCACTTAAAACGAATCTTTGGCGTAAAAGCTAAACACAAAGATACACCAATACTGTTACCGTTACAGCCTATTAAAGTCAATTAACTAAGGCCTCCCCTATAGACTGCCTCATACAGGAAATATTTGCCATAGTTGCCACGCTTCGTAAACGGGTAACAAAACTAGTTTTTTATTTTTAGTCATTATTAAAAAAACGTTGCTGCCTATTTCCAAATGTGTTTCCCTCTGTCGCATCTTACGACACTCACGGGATGGTATAGGTTAGTAGATATTTTTACACCGCCACTATTCGGCTAGCAAAGATAAATCTTTCAAGTGAAAACATTAGGAGAGGGTGGAATGAGGAGACACATACCGGGTTCTCGTGGTCGTGTATGCGCACGAGGCGCGTGGGGCCGGCGCAGCTGAGCGTGACGTCGAGGCGGCCGCAGCCGGGCCGCAGTGCGTGCCAGCTCACCGCCTGCTCGCCCGCCAGCGCGCCCGCCCGCTCGCTCGCCGGCAGACCCAGCACCACTCGCGCACCTGGATGCCATTGTAAACGTGAATGAACACTCGTAGCCAAGCTCGAATGACCAACACATTTTATAAGAACTTGCACGGCCTATTAAATAAGAAATTCCATTTTAGTTTCCTGGTAACGTACTTGTAGCTTTCCTTTGTAGTCATCTTTTATTATGAAGGTCTATATTTACTCTGCGTGGAGCGCACAGCTTGGCGTGTGCACAAGCCTCGCCGGGCGGCAGCAGATTCTAGCGTTATGCGGAGCGTGTGCGGTACCTGGCACGAGCGCCATGAGGCCGGCGAGGGCAGCATGCGGCTGCACGCACAGGTTGGCATGCGCGCAGGCCATGCGGCCGGACGGCAGCAGGCGCCAGCGCTGCGTGGAGCGTCGCCGCGGGTCCGCACGCCGCAGCACCAGCGCGCTCGCCACGCCCGGCCGCGGCGCCGCCTCTTCTATGTCCAGCACCTAGGGCCATCACAAAACATCCCCCGTAACTATACTATCAAACTACCAAATCTCGATATTTCATTGCAACCGTTACAACCAATTAAAGTCCACTGCTCGACATAGGTCTTCACTATAGATTGAGCCACGGGGATATTTGCCACAGTTGTACAGCTTGACAAGCGGGTTGAAAACAGCAGTTTTTTATTTTAAGTCATTATTAAGAAGACGCTGCGGTCCATCTCCTGATTTGTTACATCTGTCGCCTCTTATGACACTCATGATATGGGGTACTGGATATTATTACTCCGCAACCACACGGTAAAACGGTAGTTCGTTACAATCGGCACATAAACTATGCAAACAGTTAACTGAGATTCACCAGCATCTAGCAACGGAAAACTGTAAAGATTAAGAACTCACCATGGCGTGCGGTGAAAGAGTAGGATCGTCGGGCAGAGCAGCGTCAGTGGGCTGCGGCGGTGAACTGCCCTCGTGCACAAGCTGCCCACCCGGCCCACGCCGCCACAGCTGCGACCTGATCACATTCACCTATATGTACTTATACGTTGAGGGTAGGAAATAAAAATAAGAGAAAAAAATTTTAAAAACGCAAACGATAGTGTAAAGCATTTATAATCAAATGTCAGTTCATCTACCGCTGGAAAGTTGCCGGAGCGTTATTCACTTCGAACGGCACGTTTTTCTTTTCAGTAGGATTAGACAATAGTGATTTCTTATATTTAAACGTTCCGTGAAGTCTGCAGTTTGCGATCATATCCTAGACGGCCCCAACCATTACATCAGATTTGATAGACCACAAATCCTCGCGAAAGAACACCGATTCCTACCAAGGATGATACGTGAGGCTATTGAAATTAAAAAACATCCTAATTTCAATAGAGAAGGAGGCTGGGTCTACCACCAGCTTGGGATCCTATAATCAATAAAATTAAAACTAAACCCAAGCATACCACTGCAAGACCTCAGGATATAGTCAGTTCAAAAAGCTGAATGTACTCCGGGTTTAACAATGACATCGGGACGTCAGTCACCTCAGAAACGTCGGGAATTAAAAATAAAAGTAATTAAAAGTAAAATAAACGCGATAAAATCCGTAAAAGTAGTTTTAATCAAGGATTAGACAAGTTGGCCCATGCAATTTCTACTTAAGAGACATATACTAACCTATCGCCGTATCGCTTGCGGCCAAGTACTACCCGAGTACTGCCGAGCGGCACCTCTAGTACCAAAACGCTGTCGTCGTCTGTCGAAATCTGCTTGCCTGCCGTCTCCATACTGTTTTCTCTGAAATTGTAATTGAATCGGTCATTTCAAAAACCTCATAAGTCACAAAATTATAATTTTTCAGAAATTAGTAAAAACTGTTTCATACACAAACAAATGAGTTTTAAAGGACTTTTTATGTTTAATTTAGTATTTGAGTAGTAAGAAATTAAAAAAGCGTATAACCTTTACAGTTTATTAATAGAAATGATGAAAAAACCCTGAAAAACAGTTCTTGACTTATGTTGTTTTAGCGAGAAATAGAGTTAGTGGTATATAATTTAACCAAAACAATCGTAGTAATCATATTTTTTGTTGCTTGTAATTAAGAATTACACTTAAAAATAACCTTATTAACATTTTACATGTATTAATTTGTCATGTTTCAATATATTTATAGTACATAGTCATATTCAATCAGTCAGGTTCAAGATTTCTTATCAGACACACGTCTATACTTCGCTTCTAAACGTTTTAGTAAAAATATAAGTACCATTGTCAACATCCACTACCAAGTGTTCCTCAAACTTATAGAATATTTTCTCCCTACTAACTTCAATATGGTGGTGTATGGTAAATGTTGTGAGGAAGTGTCTAGCGCCATTCAGTGCTCTGCCTGTCGTAAGTTCTTCGATTACCCATGTTCTGGGATAACTGAAATTGGCTATCGCAAGCTAGGAGATAGACAGTCAACGTGGCGCTGTGTTTACTGTAAGACGTCTCAACAATCAACCCGGCCTGGATCACCACCTCCTGAAACTACACGTCAACCTGCTCTTGATAATGTTATGATTGAACTGCAGAAGCTTTCGTGCCAATTACTGCCCCTTCAAGAAGTCATCAATGATATTCGAATAATCAAAAACGATATTTCAGATCTACGTAAATCTAACAACAATATGCTAGAAAAGCTTGATAGCTTTGAAAAAAGACTTCAAGTAGTTGAAAATGCTGAGCAAAAAATAACGTCTCTAAAGGAACAGATGAATAAGATGGAAGCAGAAATTAATGAAAAAGATCGGTGGCTCAAATCAAATAACGTTGAAATCAAGGGAGTACCATTTAAACCTGGTGAGAATCTTTTTGATATTGTAACTAAATTAGGATCTATAATAACCTACCCTGTGTTGAAGAGTAACATTAATTATGTAACACGTGTCCAGACGCGAGATGCTGGGTCGAACAAGACCAAACCTATTATTCTTTCTTTTATCAACAAATATATGAAAGAAGACTTCATCGCAGCTTCTCGCCTGAGTAAACATATTTCTACGGAAGATATTGGTCTAAAAGGAAACACCCGTATTTACATAAATGATCACCTTAGTTATTCCAAAAAGATGCTGTTGAATAAAACTAAAACTGCTGCAAAGGAAAAAAACTACAAATACGTATGGGTCAAGCACGGGAAGATATTTGTGAGGAAAATCGATACATCGCAAGTCTACAATATAAAATCGGAATCGGACCTAGTCAAGCTGCGTTAACTTATAAATCTTTCTTCTCTCCTCCTTTGTTTATTTATTACTTTTAAGTTTCTGGTGTCATTTAAACATTTACATATATTTTTCAACAACAGTCAAAAATAGTTTGAGAACCGGTGTTTCTTTCCACCTTATCACAGTCTTTTGTCTGCAGTTATGCCTAATACCCACCTGTTTAAATTGTTGTGTGCATGCAATTTGTGTTCCTATTATCTTTATATCAGAGATCACTTCTCACACTGCAACTGTAAGTAAACACGATCGGTTCCATATTAATTTATTTTCTAAGAAACACTTACGCTATTACCATTTATTGCTTTTGGTTATATTTTCTTATATATCGGGTCGCTTTTTCCTTCTCAGCGCAGTAAACAATACTTATAACGATGTCACTTGTTTACTACCGTTTTACTATATAGTAGTATATTATATATTTTATGAATTTGATAAAGTAAAAGTATCTAGTGGCTGTAATTATATTACATTGTCAATTACTCGTATTACTAATCTTAGCTATTCAATTTATTCATTTGTATTTTCACAAGTAATATTCTACACTAAAGCCGTGAATTTCGACAATCGCTTTAATTTCTGTGTGTTGCCGCTTATAGTATCAAACTTGGTTTATAAAACAAATGTACTTATTGCATATTATTTTCATATAAGATGGTATATGAAAAAAAAAATATTTAATTATTACTGTGCACTTTTGGTGCTTTCAATGAGTGTACATGACACAATTTTAATGCTTGAAATCTTATTTATAACTTTTTATTTAGTTGTTACCGTATATTTATTTTTTACACGAATAACCAACAAATACTTAAGCTGAATTTCTTATGTATAAATTATATGCTCTTATTCATATTGAATGTTTCAAATAATCGTGATGGCTTCCTTACACGCTTACTACCAAAATGTTAGGGGCCTTAGATCGAAAACTCATGAGTTTTATCGTAATATTGCAACTAACAACTATGATCTTATCTCATTAACTGAGACCTGGTTATTGGATGGCATATTTGATGCGGAATTATTCGATGATCGTTATTGTGTTTGGCGTCGCGATCGTGATCTTAATCAAACTAAACAATCGCGAGGCGGTGGTGTGCTTACAGCGGTAAGCAAGAACATCGTAGCGGTAGACAAATTTGAGTGGCGTTCCTTAGTTGAAGATGTCTGGGTTTCATTGACGCTATCATGCCCTCGCTCTAAGCGCCACATAAAACTTAACATATGTACTGTATACCTTTGTAATGAAAATATGGGTGCTTCCTTCTCTGATCAAGTTATTAACTTTTGCAATACATTAGAGTCACTTATATCAGCAAATCCTAATGAAAAATTCCTCATTATAGGCGATTTTAATATGAGTTCTATTTTCTGGTCTAATACTCAAACAGGTCTCGAAGCTTGCGGTGTTAAAGGTGAACATGTGCAATATTTTATTGAAACTTTAAATTTCTGTAACTTGCAACAATTTAATCGAGCGTACAACACTTATAACCTTTTACTCGATCTCGTTTTATCCAATGACTATGTAAAAGTTGAACACTGCCAAGACCCCTTGGTGCCGAAGACCACCATCACAAAGCTTTATCAATTTGTGTTAACTTTGTCGAACTTCAGTCCCTTCCATACTCTAAACATGTCTCATTCTCTTACAGTAAGGGCAATTATGATAAAATAAACTTAGAGATAGGTTCGACTAATTGGGACGAAATTCTTAGTAGTGGTAACGTTGATGATGCGGTCAATACTTTTTACAACATAATATATAATATTCGTGATAAATATGTTCCCCCGTCATTTAAACACAAAAGAAAATATCAACCATGGTTTAACCATGCACTTATAAAATTAATTAATGAAAAAAATAAGTATCGTAGGAAGTTTAAAGTGTACGGTAATTTAAGTGATAAAAATACATTTATCTTATTAAGAGAAAGGGTAAAGAGAATTGAGAAGGATCTGTATGGCAAATACATTGGTAATGTTGAAGATAGCTTAAAAAGTCATTCTAAAATGTTTTGGTCCTATATCTGAAATAAAAAGAATAATATTTCATATCCTTCTTGTATGACGTACTCTGGTATATCTGCTAATTCAGGAGAAGATATTAGTAATCTCTTTGCTCAATATTTTAATTCTAACTTCATTCAATCTAGTAACTCAACAGTAAACCTAAATAATATAGCTGCCGTAACTTCTAATATCTTTATCATTTATTTTTAAAAGATCTATTTCTGAGGGTTCAATGCCTGCAAGATGGAAATCCGCATTTATAACTCCCATTCATAAAAAAGGTGCTAAAAATCAAATTCAAAACTACCGTCCTATATCAAAATTAAGTCTAATCGCCAAAGTATTTGAAAGTATTGTATATAACCAGTTGTATCCTGCAATTAAACATACCTTTATACCTCAACAGCACGGTTTTCTTCAGAAAAGATCAACTACGTCTAATCTTTTGCTATTCACAGACTTTATTACTTATAACATGGATAAAGGAAACCAAATTGATGCCATTTTCACGGACTACAGCAAAGCATTCGATCGCATAGACCATTCTATACTTCTGCAAAAATTATCCGCTGCTGGTATCAGGGGAGATATGTTTAGATGGTTTACGTCTTATATTTCTAACAGATCACAAGCGGTAATTTTAAACGGATTTACATCTTGCTGGACGGGTGTCCCTTCTGGCGTTCCGCAAGGTTCGCTACTTGGCCCTCTGCTCTTTGTCATATTTATCAATGATATTGCTAAATGCTTCCAGAACTCCGAGTTTTTGCTTTTCGCGGATGACATGAAAGTTTTTAGAGTAGTCAACAACTCTTATGATTCTAATCTCCTACAAAACGATCTTATTAACTTAGATAATTATTGTATCCGTAACAAATTAGACTTGAATGTTTCGAAGTGTAATACTATGTCTTTCGGGCGGAAGCGTGATATACTTTATTTTTCTTACACAATTAAAGGTTTGACAGTAACTAGATGTGATAAAATAAGGGATCTTGGAGTTATTATTGATTCTAAGCTTTTGTTTGATCAGCATGTGGAAGATATCGTTAATAAAGCATATAAGGCTCTGGGTTTTATTTTAAGGTCTTGTTGCAAATTCCGTCAGTTAACATCAATGAAAATATTGTTTTGTTCTCTTTTTCGTAGCCATCTCGAATATGCGTATCAAGTATGGAGTCCTCAATATAAAATATATATTAATAAAATCGAAGCGATTCAAAAAAAAATTCATTCGATATGTAAGTTCTAAATTTCATATATCCAAAGGAGGCTACGAATTGCAGTGTTCTCATCTTCATCTCCTCCCGCTGCAAACTAGGCGCTATACAGCTGACCTGGTCTTACTAAGTAAAATTGCTCAAGATCGTTTAGACTTCCCTGACTTATTAAAAAGATTACATATCTCAGTTCCCTCTCGTTCACTGCGCTATTACAATCCCTTACATGTTTCTTTATGTAGATCAAATTACAGGCGAAACTCATTCTTCTTAAGAGCATGTAACTCATTTAATAAACTTTCTAAGGACTGTGATAAGGCTGACCTCTTTTCTACTAGTGGTACTACTATCTGCAAATTGATAACATCTGAATTCAGTAGCAATTTACTCTTGAACTCTTAAATCTAATCAACACCAATGTATAAATTATATCTACTTATATATGTTGCATGTATTTACTCAAACCGATTAAAACCGTTCACTCTGTGAAAACTTTTAATAGGCTTACTTTGTAAATTATATTATATACCATATAGCATTAATTAAAAGCTGTAAGTTTTCCTGTTATAAATAAATAAATATTCTCCTTCATTCTCATCTGGATTATCTTTCACATTTGCAGTTGGCCAGCTAAAAATGTTGTTATAAAATGGCATATGCTCTTCCGGAATGCTATCTTGAACTTGTTTTAAATCGTCTATTTTTTAAATTGATGGGCACTTTCAAATCATAGGTTTAGGTTGATGGAAGTGAAACAGAAGTTGTTATTTTCTTTATTAATAAGAATGAAAGTTTACTCAATCCATCAATATATTCCTCGGCTGTGATAGTTCCTTTTCGATCTGAATCATACTGAAAACTCATGTATGTAGAAGGTGCAAATGACTTTTTCTGGTCCTATGGGACTTTTTCCCATAAGATTCAGTTGACAAACATGATTTTTTGTACAAATTTCGCCACCATTTCTTAAATTCCAAAAGATCTTCAGTTTTTAGCTCTATGACTGTATATGTTGTGCTGGAGTTCGAAACCAAATCAATGTATTCTCCAGAAGGTGTATTTTTTGGCATATTTCAGGAGGCACTGTATTTGCGTACACTGTATTGCGTACAGTGCGTATTTGCTTTTGGGTGACATCCTCTCTAATCTATAGGACTCTTCCCTTCATTAAGCAAATCACAAAGTCTTTGAACTCTGGCTTCACTAACTCCATATACTCGTAGGCTGATTAATGCTTTCTTGCAGACTTTAACTTTATCAGTTTGTATTAAAACATAGAATTGAAAAGCATTTTGCCTCTGTGTAGCATTTTCTTTTCGAGGACGCCTCTGTTTTATATCTAACTTATCAATAAGTGTTTGAAGAAATATATCCAGCTCATTTTTTGTTAAAAAAAAGTTAAATTTTGAAATGCAAAAGTCCATGTCATCTTGGTTGAAGTTCCCAAAACATTCCTTCTTACATCTGCAATAAATAAGCGATATATTAGGTTTATATAGGCCCCGATAAAAAACGTTAACTGAATAAAGGTTTATAGTAAACTTACCTGCAATTTTCACTAGTAGATCTTGGAGCTATTTGTTTTCCTTGATAATTAGTATAGGCGTGTCCTTTAACATTAGAATTTTTATAACATACCTTTTATATTTTGCGGGATTACATGTTCTCTTCTTTTTCGGCTCACCATCACTCTCAGTTTCACTTGAAGACATTTTTTAATCTAAAACTTACTTTTCGCACAAAATAGTTGAGTAAAAG